AATGCCACAGCTCAGCCAATGAGAAGCTATTTCACCCTAAACTCTCTTTTTTTTAATTATTAATATATTTTATTGATTTTTCACAGAGAGGAACTGGAGAGATACAAGATCAGCTGCCTCTTGCACGCCTCCTACTTGGGATGTGCCCGCAACCCAGGTACATGCCCTTGACCGGAATCGAACCTGGGACCTTTCAGTCCACAGATCGATGCTCTACCACTGAGCCAAACCGGCTTTGGCTAGGATAAAGTCTTATCTTTCGCTAACTTCATCTCATCTGCAGTGGCTTCATGGCCCGCTTGCTGTGTGGTGGATTTGTGCCTATGGGATTTCTCTTTCTCTCTCTCTGAGCTTGCCCTGTCTGTCCAGGCTTGGATTGTTGTTGCCTCTACCCAGGTTCCCCAGCCCATGATCCAGAAGCACACCTCACAGTGGCGTTTTAGGGTTCCTCCTCGGACACTCTGGGGACACTCGGCCTCAGGTGAGGAGCCAGCAGGAGCCTGGCCTCAGCATTCGCTGTGCACGCAAGAGCTCTGAATCCCTGTCCTCCCTCCCTGCACCCACCGCTTTCTCTAAGCCACAGTCCCAGGCAGGGACCCCTGCCATTTTATTTTTTTGCTCCCCAGTGGCAGAGTGCCATCCTTTGTCGCTGGCTTCAGACAGAGGCCTGGCTCAGGTTCTGTCTCTTGTGGTGTCTACTTGGACCCACAGCCCAACGCCCTTGGCTTCAGTCCTCTCGCATTGCTCTGTGTATGGAGCAGAAGTTTCTGTTGGTCTGTGGTTATGGTTATCTAGTCCCATGCAACAGACACTCCGTAGCTTTGTGGCTCAAAACAACCGCCGTTTTGTTATGTCAAGATGTTGCGCTTGCCGAAACCGTTTGGCTCAGTGGATAGAGCGCCGGCCTGCAGACTGAAGGGTCCCAGGTTCGATTTCTGTCAAGGGCATGTACCTTGGTTTCAGGCACACCCCCGGCAGAAGGTGTGCAGGAGGCAGCTGATTGATGTTTCTCTCTCATCGATGTTTCTAACTATCTCTCTCCCTTCCTCTCTGTAAAAAATAAATAAAAAAATATTTTAAAAAAAGAAAAAAAAAAAAAAGATGTTGCACTTCAGGTCACGAGATCCACTCAGGTCAGGGCATATACCCCGGTTTTGGGCTCAATCTCCAGTAGGGGGCGTGCAGGAAGCAGCTGATGGATGTTTCTCTCATGGATATTTCCCTCATAGATGTTTCCATCTCTCTATCCCTCTCCCTTCCTTTCTCTCTCTCAAAAAAAAAAAAAAGAAAGAAAGAAAGAAAGAAAGAAAGAAAGAAAGAAAGAAAGAAAGAAAGAAAGAAAGAAAGAAAGAAAGAAAGAAAGAAAGAAAGAAAGAAAAGAAAAAGAAAAAAAGAAAAGTGCCTGAGGCAAATTTTTAAATTAGTAATAGCCCAGGCAACTCACCCTCAAACAGACCTAACACCTTCTATACCAAAGCCCTCAAGGGGGCAGCAGAGGAGCAAAGGCGCGATGCCCCTTGGCCTGGGCTGGGGATTCCAACTGGCAGGATGTGTAGGCAGCTCTGGGTTTGCAAAAGCTTGACCTACAAAGAACAGCTTGACGCCCACCTTTGGCCCCGCCGCTAACGCAGAGCGGAAAGTACATGCAGTCGGTAGAAGAGGAGATGTCTCCATAACCTGCGTGGGAGCTCTCAAACAGGGCTTCATGCAGGAGCCTGGAAACCTACTCGCCTTTTATAGCTTCACGGTTTTAAGAAAATGCCTCCATATCTTGTATCTACCTTGTTGAAAACCAACTGGGATGGGGAGGCTAATAATGTGCACTAAGCTCGTTCTTTGTATCAGGCACATTTTATGCATTCTGTCAGTTAATTAATCCTGACAATAGTCCTCAGAGGTAGCTACTATGCTTATTTCTATTTTTTTAAAATATATTTTTATTGATTTCAGAGAGGAAAAGAGAGGGGGAGAGAGAACCATTGATCGGCTGCCTCCTGTACCATTTTTTAATTGGATTGTTTGTTTTCCTTTTGTTGAGTTTTATGAGTTCTTTATATATTTTAGATATTAACACTTTATCAGCTGTATAACTGCCAAATATCTTCTCCCATACAGTGAGCTCTCTCTCTCTCTCTCTCTCTCTCTCTCTCTTTAAAATATATTTTATTGATTTTTTTACAGAGGAAGGGAGAGGGATAGAGAGTTAGAAACATCCATGAGAGAGAATCATCCATCAGCTGCCTCTTGCACACCCCCTACCGGGGATGTGCCCGCAACCAAGGTACATGTCCTTGACTGGAATTGAACCTGGGACCTTTCAGTCCACAGGCTGACACTTTATTCACTGAGCCAAACTGGTTTCGGCACTTATTTATTTTTATTTTTATTTTTATTTTTATTTTTATTTTTATTTTTGAGATGAGGAAACAGGCCCAGAGAGGAGAAACCATTTGCTGAAGGTCACACAGTGACTGTGGGGGGAAACAAGACTTTCATCCAAGAATACCTGAGTTTGGAACTCAGGTTCCTAAACACCACCCTTCCTGAGATTTAATTCATGGGTGTGATTGAACCTTAGTGGGGGAAGATTAGGGACAGTGTCTAAGTTCTTCAGTCTCATGCCTCGATGCCCAGCACCAAGCCTTGTGCAAGGTGGGCTCTGAAGAAATATTTATTGAATGAATATATGAGTGACTATTAGTCACTGATCTGAATATCACTCACCGATTTGGCCCATCACACTTGCACACTTTTTCCCCCTATGTTATAATTTTAAAATTAAATATAATTTACATATAGTGAAAATTACCCTTTTAATGGACAGTTCCACAAGTTTTGACAAACATATTTAGTCAATCATGTAATCACCATAAAGAAGAGATAAAATGGTTCTATCACCCCCCTACATTTCACATGCTCCTTAGAAGTAAATTCCACACCCTCCCGTCACGTCAGCCCCCCTCCCAGACCCTCCAGCCCCTGGCCTGTTTTCTCTCCCTATGCTCTTGCTTTCGCCTGAATGTCACATGAAGAGAAACATGCAATCTGCAGTCTTTTGAGTCTGGCTTCTTTTTTTTTTTTAATATATTTTATTGATTTTTTAAAAATATATTTTATTGATTTCTTTCAGAGAGGAAGGGAGAAAGATAGAGAGCTAGAAACATTGATGAGAGAGAAACACCGATCAGCTGCCTCCTGCACACCCCACACTGGGGATGTGCCTGCAACCAAGGTACATGTCCTTGACCGGAATCAAACCCGGGACCCTTCAGTTTGCAAGCCGACGCTCTATCCACTGAGCCAAACCAGTTTCGGCGAGCCTGGCTTCTTTCACTGAGTATAATGCATTTGAGGTCCACCCATGTTGTATCCATCTTTCGTGGCTTATTCCTGAGTAGCATTCTACTATACTACACGGCTGTTCACAGTTTATGTATGCATTTCCCAGGTGAGGGACATTGGAGTTGTTTACAGGTCTTGGTTATTAATAAAATAAAAACTGCTGTAAATATAACTGCAGGGAGTTTTGTGTAAACCTAACTTTTCATTTCTCTAAGGTGAGTACCGAGGTAAGCAATTGCAGACGCGTATGGTAAATACACAGTTAGCTTCATAAGGAAGTGTTTTCCTCGGTGGCTGTCCCATTGTGGTATTCTCACCAGAAATGTCTGAAAGCTCTAGCTGTGCCCTGGCTGGTGTGGCTCAGTGGGTGGGAGGGTCACCCTGTGCACCAAAAGGTTTCGGGTTTGGTATCTCATCGGGGTTCATTCGGGAGGCAGACGATGGATGTTTCTCACCTCTCTCTTTCTCCCTCTCTTCCCCCCCCCCCTCTCTCTAAAATCAATGAAAACTTATCTTTGGGTGAGGATTTTTTTAAATGACCTAAGGCGCTCTCACGCCCGCCACACATTTCCTCCGGCGTCCTGACTTCACAGAAGGCAGGGTGTCCTGTCATCACCACGTGCCAACACCTCTGAGATATACCCCTCTCCGACCTGCTCCTGGGACCCCCGGAGGCTCCCTGGCGGCACAGAGAGAGGCCCCAGGACTGCAGGCCGCGAAGGGCCACACCTGGACGGTGGCTCCTCCCGGCGCCCTGCGCCCCCAGCCTGGGTTTCCCTGAGACCTAGAGCTCCAGCCTGGGCTGCCGTGGGGTGAGGGGCACTGGGTCCATTTACTGAGCACCTACTGTGTGCCACGCCCTCGGCCACCGCGGGGAGCACGAAAGACCAAGCCCACGGCCAGCGGAGGACGACAAAGAACAAATCATTACACACGGCATTCCTGGGTTAAGGAACAGGGCAGGGCGCGGGGGTGGGGAGATGTCCACAGAGAATGCATGGCCCCCGCTCAGCCTCCTCCTCTGCGCCCGGGGCTGGGGGAGAGGGAGCCGCGCAGACACGGGGACCCGCATGACGTCAGTGCAAAGCCAGGCGGCCGGGTCCTCCGTGGAGCGGGGCTTGGGGGCTCTGAGAGGAGACTTAGTCCCTCGCAGCTCATTCATTCGTCCCCGAAATCCTCCTACTGTGTGCAGAGCCCCTCGGGGGAGGCCGAGCGCCGTCCCTGCCTCTCCCTACATCGGAGGTAGCCAGAGCGACAGGAGACAAGCCCATACATAGGGAGGTGGTAGGATAGCTTAAAAAAATAAAAAAATAAAAAATAAAATAAGGGGGGTGGTGCCAGCCAGAGCCTCAGGCTGGGGCGGGGAGTGAGTGCAATGGGGGAGGGGGCCAGACAGCCCCCCAGCCCCGGGGGGACACATCCCGAATTCATTGCACACACACCTCCTCCCCGACCCCCGGCCCCGCAAAGAGGTCACCGCGAGCGAGCGCGCCCCCCGCAGGCCGACGCGCCGGGCGCTCGGGGGCGCGCTCAGCCCGCGCACAGCGCCCTCTGGCGGGGCCGCGCCGGGCGGGCCGGGCTCCGGGCGGGGGCGCCGCGCAGGCGCAGGCGCAGGGCCGGCCGGCGCGCGGAGCGAGGGGCGCCGCGGGTGCAGCACGATGGAAGGGGGTGCGTACGGAGCGGGCAAGGCCGGGGGCGCCTTCGACCCCCTCACCCTGGCCCGGCAGCCGCACACCATCCTGCGCGTCGTGTCCTGGGTAAGGACGGCCGGGCCGGGCGGCGCCGGGGGCGGGCGGGCGGGGGCGCGGCTAACGGCGGCGGCGGGCGCGGGCGGACCCGGACCCCGGACCCCGGACCCCGGACCCCGGACCTGGGCAGGGCCGCGGCCGCCGGGGGAGCGGCCCTGGGGGCGGCCGGTGCCCGCCCTCCCTCCCACCTCCCCGGTCCCTGGGGCGGGGGGCTCGCCCCTCGCCGTTCCCGGGGCCCCCGCTTCCCGGGGCGGGGGGCACCCCAGTCCTGCGCTCCGCCCCCGCCCCCCGGCGCCGCCGTGACCTCCAGGCCGCGGCCCTGCAGCGCGCGGCTCGGGTTGCGCGGCCGCCCGGGCGGACCGGTGGCCGCGGGGACGGAGCCGGGTTTCAGGGGCCTTTTTGGGGGGCGGGTCAGGGCGGGGAGCCTCCCTCCGGCGGGGTGCACGCCGCGCCCGCCGGCCGGTTCGGAGGGGAGAGGACGGGCCTCCATGGCGGGCCCGGGGGGTGCGGAGCGATGCCTCGGGAGCCAGATGCCGGGAGCCGCCTCTCCTGCGCGGCGTGACCTTGGGCTGGAAGCCGCCCAGGAGGGAAGCCAGGGGTTACGTTCTGAGGCCGGAGGGTCCCCTCCTCCCGCGGCCTCAGTTTCCCCGTCTGGGAGGAGCCTCCTTGAGGCCTCCTTGAGCTCGGGAATCCCTGCATCACCTTCCCCCACCCCCCACCACGCACCTGGGTGCCTTGGGGTGGGGAGGCCCTGGGGAAGGTTCTGGGCCTTCAGCCTGGGGGGGGGCGGGGGGCCGGACACCCAGGACAGAGGGCTGCGTGGGGTCCCTGTTCGGACAGAGAGGGAGGAGAGGAGGTCGGGACCGGGGAGGGGTGGCAGGGCTGCGGCAGCACCCGGGGCAGGAGGGCTGGCTGAGGTCGGGGAGGGAGGCACCTGGGCTGCCCAGGGCTGGCTGGCCAGTCCCCGGACGCCCTCACTAGAGGGTCTTGCTTCTGCGGCCCGGGGACAATTCCTGCGCGTCCAGACAGGAGGTCCTGGGTGGGAGGTGCTGGTCGGGGACCCCAGGGGGCTGCACCTATAGCCAGCGAGGCCTGGGGGCTCTAGCTCCCTCATTTCCTGGGCTCTCAGGGCCACATTGGGGTCCGGTGGAGCTACCTTTTTTTGGTCTAAAACCCATTCAAACCTCTTTGCGTCCCAGGAAGTTGCAGGGACCCGCCCTGTCAGGCCAGGGGAGCCCTGTTCTGTTCATCTCTGGCTCCCTGGTGCTGGCACAGGGCCTGGCACCCTTGGCACACCCAGGAGGGTCTGTGGCACTGAATTCATTCGCCTATGCCAGCCTCCCTCCCCAGAGACCCAGCAGGCCTTTGGCGAAGGTGGAGCTCGAGGCGTGACCTGCAGGGCCAGGTGGGCTGGCTCCCGGGCCCCTGGCCTGGGAGGGGGCTGGGCAGGTCACCTACTGGGGTCACTGCTGCCTGTGACGGCTTCCTTTAGCAAAGCGTGATTGAGCCTGCCGGCCCCGAGGGAAGGTGGGTGACTCAGACTCAGACGTGTGGGGTGAGCCAGGCACCCTCAGGCCGAGGGGTGAAAGCAGGAGAGGGGGTGTCCTGCCTGCCTCGGGAATCAGAGAGATTTCATCTAGAAAGGGATGCCAATTCGGGCCTGGCGGGGTGAGGAGGGTTTGCAGATGTGCTCCTTGGGGTGAAAGGTAACTTTGAATGAGTACCGCCGTGTGCAGGGGCTTGTGGCGGTTACCAGGTTACCCAGCGGGCCCTGCGGCTGCCGGGGTCACACTGGGAGAACCTGGGCCTCAGGGAAGCCAGGGTGACTGAGCATGTCGGTGGGAGATGGAGAATCGGAACCCAAATCTTCCTGCCTCCATGGCCTCCTCACCCTGATGCCTTTGAATAGAGATTCTTTTTCTTTTTTTTCTATTATTTTAAAAATATATTTTTATCCACTTCAGAGAGGAAGGGAGAGGGAGAGAGAGCTAGAAACATCAATGATGAGAGAGAACCACGGATTGGCTGCCTCCTGTACACTCCACACAGGATGGAGTCTGGAACTCAGGCATGGGACTTGACCCGAATAGAACCACGGCCTCCTGGTTCATAGGTGGACACTCAACCCCAACCACTGAGCCGCACCGGCCTGCCTAAATATAATTTTTTCTTTCTTTTTTTAATATATTTTATTGATTTTTTTACAGAGAGAAAGGGAGAGAGATAGAGCGCTAGAAACGTCGATGAGAGAGAAACATTGACCAGCTGCCTCTTGCACACCCCCTACCGGGGATGTGCCCGCAACCAATGTACATGCCCCTGACCAGAATCGAACCTGGGACCTTTCAGTCCGCAGACCGACGCTCTACCACTGAGCCAAACCGGTTTCGGCTATAATTGTTCTTTCTGGTCATAAAAGTGAAACCTGTCAGTTATAGGAAAATATAAAAATCACTTGTGATGGTTGCATAACAGTTTAAATATACTTAATGTCACTGAACTGTACACTTAACAAGAGTTAAGGTGGTAAGCTTTATGTTATGTGTGTTTTATCACAATAAAGAAAAATTTGGAAAAAAAAAAATCAGGTGCCCAAGCTGGTTTGGCTCAGTAGATAGAGTATCAGCCTAAGGACTGAAGGGTCCCAGGTTCGATTCTGGCCAAGGGCACGTGCCTGGGTTGCAGGCTCCATCTCCAGTAGAGGGGGAGTGTAGGAAGTAGCCAATCAAAGATTCTCTCTCATCATTGATGTTTCTATCTCTCTCTCCCTCTCCCTTCTGCTCTGAAATAATAAAACATATTTAAAAAGAAAGAAAAGAAACCATGTGAAATCCTGCCATTTAGGGTGGGCTGCTGTCTCCTTCCAGCCTTTTTCCTTTTTTAAATGATTTTTCGAGAGAGAGGAAGGGAGAGGGAGAGGGAGAGAGAAACTTCAATGTGAGAACAAAACATCGATCTCACACACACACACACACACACACACACCCTGGGGATCTAGCCTGCATGTGCCCTGACCAGGACTCAAAACTTTCAGTGTACCAGACGCCCAACCCACTGAGCCACACCAGCCAGGGCTTCTTCCAGACTTTTTCAGACAGTGGTACACTGAGACATTTTGGTATGTCGGGGAGCATGCCCCTCCCCCTCCTGCTCCCTGATAGACGGGGCGGGGAGCTCCATCTTCACCAACGAAGCCTGTGCCCCAGGGCAGGGTGACCAGTTCAGTGCCAGGTGCTGGGAGCCCCCAGCCTCAGGCAAACCCAGCCTGCTGTGGGTGGCCACTCTACCCAGGACTCCTGTGCGGCCTAGGCTCCTGCAGCCCTGAGATGCCGGCCGGCCGGGCCTGTGAGCAGTGGGCGGGTAATTCTGTAATATCTGTAAGAAAATCTTTTTCTGAAAGGGGTCCCCGAACCATCTAAGCTTCAGGGTCTCCCCAAACCTGGGCCCGCCCTGGGACCTGAGCCCTCTGAGCCCCCAGGCCCTGCTGGGGCAGAAGCAGGCCCCAGGACCCCCTGTCTCAGCTCCCCTCTGCCTCTGTGCTCCCCCTGCCCTCCTCCCCCGCCCCCCCCACACCTGTCAGGGCGATTCCATGTCGGTAAAGGTGGGGAGAGAGCTGGTGAGCCTCCGGCAGCTCCTGCCCTGGGGGAGGAGGGGATGGCGGAGTTGGGACAGTGTGTAGGGCAAGCCCAGAGCTGCTGCCTCTGAACCAGGCTGTGGGGAGATGGGGCTGTGCTGGGGGACGGGTGGCTGCTGTGCCCGCCCCTGTGCCTCCATCGCCCTCTCTGCCTGTAGGGGCTCCTGTTTGCTGGAACCGAGTGGGTAACGGGGGGCTCCAGCAGGGAACTGGCCGGTTTGAGGTGAGGGACCACCTTCTGTTTAGAATTCTTTGTCTGTCTGTTGGGGGGTTCCCGTGGGGAGGAATTTTGGTGCTGGTAGATGAGAGGACATTTTAAGTTAATTCCCTGTCTTGGCAACATGAAACAGTAAAATGTTTGAGGCTTTGCCATTTTCAGAGTTGTTCTCTTAAGGGCATTGGGGATTCTGTAAGTGGAGTGTGTGGTTCCCACAGAAGACAGGAGCGAGGCACAGAGTGGAGGGAACGTGTCTGCCCGTTCCAGGCTCGGACTGTCAGGGGCGCAGTTTGAAGCCGGTCCCCAGGGTCCCCATTCAGTACACACTCCCCGGGGCTGCCCTGCCTGGTCACGGGGGCACCAAGGGGCAGCTCATCGGGAAGAATTTACACCCTTTGTTTTCATCACCCCCCCCCCCCTTAATTATCACAATTAACACTGAGAGTAAAAGCTGACCTCACTCTGCAAACGCAGCAGCTTCAAGACCAGACCCCTTGTCCCAGCTCCCGACTGGCTCCCCGCTCTCGTCATGAGCCTCAGAAGGCTGTGTGGAAGGGGTCCCAGTGGGGACAGAGCCTCCGGCCTTCCTTCGTTGATTCCACGTGTGCCAGGTCCCCGTCAGTGCCAGGCTGTGTCCCACCGGAGAGGCTCTCAGCCCAGTGAGAACAGGATTGAGTGGACAGGCACAATCTCGGAGGCCTGGGGCGCTACAGGAGATCCAGTGGAGTGTAGCTACCTCTGCTGGTGGAAGCATGGAGGGCTCCCAGGGGGAGGTGGCTCCCGAGCTGATTCCGATAAAGAAGCGGGGAGGGGAGCAGAATGTGCTCGAGGTCTGAGTGGGCTCTGGAAATGATGGTGAGGTCTTGGGGGCCCCGGTATATTAGTGAGAGTGATGAGTCAAAAGGCAAGTAGGGGCAGACAGCCCAGGCAGGGCCTCGGGGGGCAGGCACACGAGCTGGACTTGATCCGAGGGCGCTGGGGAGCCATGAGGGTTTTAAGCAGAGAGGAGCTGTGTTTCGGAAGCTCCCTGTGACTGCCAGCGTGCCGCGGAGGGGGCTCTGGGCAGGTGTCTGGCAGGAAATGTGTGGTCTGTCTAGCCTGTCCTCTCCCCGGCACATCCCTGTCCCTCACTCAGCGAGGCCATAGGGAGGTCCCACG